GATGAAAAGGCAGTTGACTAACCCCCGATGATACCCACAGTGTCCAGGCGGGTATTTTCAGTTAATGTCTGTGTGTAGCCTAGACAGCGAGCTATAACCGGCCGTTCGTAAAACTGCGGGTGTGACTGGGCCATCTGCACGCTGAACTCCATGTGGCTCTGAGGCAACCCATCCCAGGTTCTGTGTGACCGGCTGTGGGATGGGCAGGCTGTAGCGCTTGCCTGTGGTGCCTTGCTCTGCAGTCACGCGCGTCATGAAACAGCACAGCCTGCTGCCACGTGTGGTTTGCTCGGCAGTCACCTCTTCGTTCTAACTTAAAATGTTTCCTTCTCTGTAGGGCTTGCTGTCGTTCCTCAGTGCGCCACTCATAGGTGCCCTGTCCGACGTGTGGGGACGCAAGTCCTTCTTGCTGCTAACGGTGTTTTTCACCTGTGCGCCAATACCGCTCATGAAGATCAGCCCGTGGTCAGTAACCCCTTTCACGCTGGATTTGCTGTCCCTGTTGAGGTTGCCGGCCGGTGCTGTCGTTGGTAGCATTGCTGGCAAAGTACCGACTACCCCGCAGGAGGTCAAGGCCTTTGTGTGACTTCAGTGCAAAGCTGGGGGAAGGGACTGGGATGAAGCAGCTGCCACAGGCCAAGTGCCTTGGGCAGAGTTTTCGAGCCACGGTTTGAGCTCCATGCTGTAGGCCCCACTCCTGACTCCAGCCCAGTTGCTGTAGGTGGCAGGATGCTGCTGTCATTTCTGTGATGAAATGATGAGCGCTGGTGCGCTTCTCATGAAGAGAAGGCTGACGGTGGGATCCATCAAGGACCAGATTCTCAAAGCAGCGAAGTACCTACATTGCTCTGGGTCGTGGGCAGTCAAAGGTGGTCTACGACCTCGTTTCCTAGAAGTGTGTAATCACAGCAGCGTTTCGTAGCAGTTAGTGCTCGCTGCGCTAAGGAGGAATCGTGGCTGCACATTCACAGTGGCCTGGTCGGAGTTTATCCTATTACTGGCTAGGAGAAGTTGGACGAGATGCTTTACTCTTGAGCTCTACTTGGATTGTAAAGAGAGACTTTGTTGCTATTCTGATGTGGTTTATTTTGTCCCCAGGTGGTACTTCGCTGTCATCTCTGTCTCTGGAGTGTTTGCAGTGACGTTTTCTGTGGTTTTTGCATATGTAGCAGACATAACGCAAGAGCATGAGAGGAGCATGGCCTATGGTTTGGTAAGTGGGTTTGGCTCTGTTCTGTGGTAGTCCGTAGGCAAATTCCTTTTTTTCTTTCTTCTCTGGCAAGTTGATTCCAGCTGGGGAAAGGTGGTTCTGTTTAACTGTTCCTGTCATCCAGTCCTGTTGACTCTGGCCACTGGTGATCTCGCCCGCTGTCACCTGTTGCAGGTTTCAGCAACGTTTGCGGCCAGTCTGGTCACCAGCCCCGCTATTGGCGCCTACCTCGGCCGCGTCTATGGGGACAGCCTGGTCGTGGTCCTGGCTACAGCAATCGCCTTGCTGGACATTTGCTTTATTCTCGTCGCTGTACCGGAGTCGCTGCCGGAGAAGATGAGGCCAGCGTCCTGGGGAGCACCCATTTCCTGGGAGCAGGCTGACCCTTTCGCAGTGAGTGGTTTAAACATGGACTCGTTTGTCAGCTGTAAACGTTGGGCTTTCGAGAGCTGGAAGGGACTGAATTTACCACCTTTCCATCTGGAGAAGCAAAGCCCGTGTCTTTCCCAGTGTAACCTCACAGTCGCTGCTAGCACCTTTGCCAACAACCGTGCTAAACAGGGGCGTGCTCTGGTGCCACGCAGCGGCTGCTCCGCCTGACGCGCGTTCTGGCCTCTCGCTGGGTGCGCCCCTCTGAGCACCCTCTGGTTTTTCTTGCCGTAGTCGCTGAAGAAGGTTGGCCAGGACTCCATCGTGCTGCTGATCTGCATCACAGTCTTTCTTTCCTACCTCCCAGAGGCAGGTCAATATTCCAGCTTCTTCCTATACCTCAGACAGGTACGGTCATGTTTTCGTAGGGATTTGAACAGAACTCGGTTTGTAGGGAACTTTCCAGAGTTGCTGAACTAACATAGGAGTACGGGTGAGCGGCTGAATGAAAAGGCTTCTGGCAGCTGGCACAAGGCCTCTTGCTGCTGCTTCTGGCTCCATGGGCTACGAGAGGCTGCAGGCGAACGAGTTACAGCTTAGCGTGTCTTGTCATTATTCACGTTGTTCTTGGACCGCGAGGCTTACTGCATTAACCTGCTCCCTGTGTTGAGGGAACCATTTACTTGTTTCCTGTTTATGCCCCTTCATTTTTGTATAGTTGCCTGAGTTAATGAGGAGATAAAACCACCCAACTCTCCTCAGTTGAGGGGGACTTGGATAATTATCAGTCTCCTGCACTTTGTGTTTCCCCACTGGTGTTTGTGATGTCACAGCACGTGGCTTACGGCTAATAACCAAACTGCCTTTTTTTCATACAGATAATGGGATTTTCATCTGAAAGCGTTGCAGCGTTTATTGCGGTCCTTGGGATTCTGTCCATTATTGCACAGGTGAGTGGCTGCTGCGTTCCGCCGGCTCCGTGACTTTGGGCGCGTCAGCACTGCGCAGCCCTCCCGTAGTAGAGTGGGAGGCGCCTGGTCTGCAGCTGCTTCTCCAGCGGCATTTGGTTCACCACCATCCGCAGGGCATGGGATGTGGGCAGAGGAAACCCTCTGGGCAGCAGGGAAGGGGTGGCAGTGTGTGCAGGCCGCTTGTGTGAGTGCTGCTGTTGGGCAGAGGCTCCTGGTGCCTGTCCAGTGCTGCTTGTGGAGGCTCTTACTTGGCTTCTAGAATGTGTTGGTGTGCAGTTGTCATGTAGAGCGTGGTCTGAGGGTGGTGTTAAAGCTGTGAATTCATCTGTGTATGGTTAACATTTGGAATAAAATGTGATTTTTCTTTTCTGCTGTCCCCGCTCTCTCAGACAATAGTGTTGAGTTTACTCATGCGCTCCATCGGGAATAAAAACACCATCCTGCTGGGCCTCGGATTTCAAATACTGCAGCTCGCATGGTACGGCTTTGGCTCGGAACCGTGGTACGTTCGTTGCCTTCTGCCCGCTAACGACACGGCGTGTTCGGCGCTGTACCCCTTACCGAGGGCAACACGTACACCCGTGTGCCAGGAGGTCGCTATGCTTTGCCGGATGACGTGG